TGGTCTCTCTTGTCTCTCTCTCTGGTCCTCTCTCTGGTCACTCATCTGGTCGCTCTCTGGTGTCTCCTCTGGTCTCTGTCTGGTCTCTCTCATCTGGTCTCTCCTCTGGTCTCTCCTGGTCCTCTCTCATGTCTCTGTCTGGTCTCTCCGCTCTGGTCTCTCTCTGGTCTATCGCTGGTCTCGCTAGTTCTGGTCTCTCTTCTGGTCTCACTCTGGTCTCCTCTCTGGTCTCTCGCGCTGGTCTCTCTCTGTCTCTGTTTGGTCTCTCTGTCTGTTCTCATCTCTGGGCTCTCTCTGTCTCTCTCTGCACTCTTTCTGGACTCTCGCCGGGTCTCTTGTCTGTCTCTCTGTTCTGGTCTCCTCTCTGGTCGCTCTCCGGGTCTCTCTCTGTCTCTCTCTGGTCCACTCTCTGGTCACGGTCTCTGGTCCGTCTCCTGGTCACATCTCTGGTCTCTCTCTCTGGTCTCTTCTCTGGTCACTCTCTGGTCTTCTCTCTGTCACTCTCCGGTCTCTCTCTGGTCTCTTCTCTGGCTCTCTCTGGTCTCTCTCTGGTCTCTCTCTCTGGTACTCTCTCTGGTCTCTCTCTGGTCCTCTCTGGTCTCTCTCTCTGGTCTCTTCTCTGTCTCTCTCTCTGCTCTCTCTTAACACTCTCTGGTCTCGGTCTGAGGCTCACTCACTGGTCTCTCTCTGTTCTCTCTCTCTGGTCTCTCTCTCTGGTGTCTCTCTGTATCCTCTCTGTCTCTCTCTGGTCCTCTCGCTTGTCTCCTCTCTGGTCTCTTTCTAGTCTCCTCTGGCACAAAGAAAGTTTCCTTATGGCACCTTTCCTCTGTCCCCTCGCTCTGCGGCGCATCGTAATAAACTAAACTAATGGTATTCTGAATGTAAATATACAACGTTACACACACACACACACACACACACACACACACACACACACACACACACACACACACACACAGACACACAGACACACACTCACACAGACAAAAAATACAAAAGACACACAGACACACACAGACACAACACAGACACACGCAACACAGGCGCGGTCCCTCTGTAGTGTATTTTTAGCCCTGCTCCGATTGTGTTTGTGTGTGAGTGTGTGGTGTGTGTGAGTGTGTGTGTGTGTGTGTGTGGGGTGTGTGTGTGTGTGTGTGTGGTGTGTGGTGTGTGTGTGTGTGTGTGTGTGCGTGTTGTGTTGTGTGTGTGTGTGTGTGTGTGTGTAAAGTTGTATATTTACTTTCAAATACCATAGTTTTAGTTTATTTACGAGTCGCCGACAGAGCGAGTGGGACAGAGACAGGTGCCATAAGGAAACTTTTTCTTTGTGCAAGAGAGACGAGAAAGATGACCCAGAGAGAGACAAGAGAGAGACCAGAGAGAGACCAGAGAGAGACCAGAGAGAGACACCAGAGAGAGAGACCAGAGAGAGAACAGGAGAGACCCAGTGAAGAGCCCAGAGAAGAGACCAGAGAGTGATCAGAGAGAGACCAGAGAGAGAGACCAGAAGAGAGACCAGAGAGAGAGACCAGAGAGAGACCTAGAGAGAGACCAGAGAGAGGATCCAAGAGAGAGAGACCAGAGAGAGACCAAGAGAGACCAGAAGAGAGACCAGAGAGAGACCGGAGAGTGACCAGAGAGAGAGACCAGAGAGTGACCAGAGAGAGACACACATACCAGAGAGAGAGACCAGAGAGAGACCAAGAGGTGACCAGAGAGTGACCAGAGGAGTGACCAGAGAGAGACCAGAGAGAGACCAGAGAGCGAGACAGAGAGAGACCAACAGAGAGACCAGATACAGAGACCAGAGAGACCAGAAAGAGTGACCAGAGAGAGACCAGAGAGAGACCAGAGAGAGACCAGAGCAGAGAGACCAGACAGAGACAAGAGAGAGACCAGAGAGAGAGACCAGAGAGAGACCAGAGAGAGACCAGAAAGAGATACCAGACAGAGACCAGAGAGAGACCAGAGAGAGACCAGAGAGAGAGACCAGAGAGAGACCAGAGAGAGACCAGAGAGAGACCAGAGAGAGACCAAGAGAGAGACCAGACAGAGACCAGAGAGACACCGGAGAGAGACCAGAGAGTGACCAAGTAAGAGACCAAGAGAGAGAAGACCAAGAGAGACCAGAGAGAGACCAGAAGAGTGACCAGAGAGAGACCACAGAGAGAGACCAAGAGAGAGACCAGAGAGAGAGACCAGAGAGAGACCAGAGAGAGACCAGAGAGAGACCAGAGAGAGACCAGAGAGAGACCAGAAAGAGAGACCAACAGAGACCCAGAGAGAGACCAGAAGAGACCAGAGAGTAGTCCAGAGAGAGACCAGAGAGAGACCAGAGAGAAGACTAGAGTGAGACCAGACAGAGACCAGAGACAGACCAAGAGAGACCAGACAGAGACCAGACAGAGACCAGAGAGAGACCAGAGAGAGAGACCAGACAGAGACCTGAGAGAGACACCAGAGAGAGACCATAGAGAGAGACCAAGAGAGACCAGAGAGAGAGACCAGAGAGAGACCAGAGAGAGACCAGAGAGAGAGACCAGACAGAGACCAGAGAGACAACAGAGAGAGAGACCAGAGAGTGACCAGAGAGAGACCAAGAGAGCCAGACCAGAGAGAGACCAGAGAGTGACCAGAGAGAGACATAGAGAGAGACCAGAGAGACAGAGAGAGAACCAGAAGAGAGAGAGACCAAGACAGAGAACAGAGAGACACCCAGAGAGAGACCAGAGAGTGACCAGAGAGAGAACCAGAGAGAGAGACCAGAGAGAGACCAGAGAAAGAGACCAGAGAAGAGAGACCAGAGAGAGACCCAGAGAGAGAGACCAGACCAGAGACCAGAGAGAGACCAGAGAGAGAGACCAGACAGAGACCAGAGAGAGACCAGAAGTGACCAGAGAGAGATCAGAGAGTGACCAGAGAGAGACCAGAGAGAGACCAGAGAGAGACCGAGAGAGAGAGACTCAGAGAGAGACCAGATAAGTGACCAGAGAGAGACCAGAGAGAGAGACTAGTTCTCTCAAACTGCAGATTTCTAAAACCTAAAATGTTCGGTAACCGAGCTTTGTTTTGTTGAGGTCGTGTGTGTGTGTTTGTGTGTGTGTCCATTGTGGTGTTGGCCGGTGTGTGTGCGTGGTCATGTGTGTAGTGTGTGTGTGTGTGTGTGTGTGTGTGTCCATGTGTGTGTGTGTGTCCGTGTGGTGTGTGCGTGTCAAATGTGTGTGTATGTGTGTGTGTGTGTCCGTGTGTGTGTGTGTGTCTGTTCTCGTGCGCGCGGATTATAATCTCTTTCATCCAATATTGATTGAAGTGAAAGTACTCGTGGCTGAATGTGCTGCTGGGAGATTGTGGCTAATCCAGCACAAAACAGCCCCATCACAAAAGGAAGGAGGAGACGCACAAATGTCAACAGTAACACACAGGACTGGATTAGAAGGCCACACACACACATTACACACACACACACACACACACTGAGAGCAACAAGTGAGTTCCTATCATTTGGGGGAATATGCTGATATGGACAGAAGTGAGAGACCAGAGAGAGAGACCAGAGAGGAGACCAGGAAAACCAGAGAGAGACCAGAAAGAGGACTAGGGAAAGACCAGGGAGAACCAGAGAGAGACCAGATAGAGACCAGAGTGAGACCAGGGAAAGACAGGGAGAGACCAGAGAGTGAACCGAAAGAGAGACCAGAGAGGGACCAGGGAAAGACCAGGAGAGCCAATAGAGACCCAGAGAAGGACTCAAGATAGAGACCAGGGAAAGACCAGGGAGGAACCAAAGAGACCAGAGAGAGACCATGGAAATACCGAGGGAGAGACCAGAGAGAGACCAGTGAGAGGGACTAGAGTCTTTGTCCTGTCTCTGACCCTCTCTCAGTGCGAGCAGGAAGGGCCTGAGGCAAGTTTAATTTGTGTAGGCCACAGTTCATACAGGAAGATCAACTCAAAACCCAAACAAGAAACATTAAAATCACAAAGAACTAGAATCATAAACACCAGTGAGAGACACGGACTCTCCTGGTCCCGGGTTGATGGTGTTTCTCACCAACGCCCTCAGCCGCTCCATGGTAACTTTTATTAGTTATGGCTCGGCCCGTTCTAACAGAGTCTAATATCATCAACAACCATCCACACACATAAAAATCATACAGAGCAAGTGTTTTTGTGTGTGTGTGCAAGTCCCAGCCCAGCCACAGTCCAGTCCAGCCCAGTTCAGTCCTGCCCAGCCCAGCGCAGTCCAGTCCTGCCCAGCCAAGTCCAGCACAGTCGAGTCCATCAGTCCATCCCAGTCCAGTCCATCTGCAAAGTTCTTGATACAATTATTTTTCACATATTCAATAAATGAACATTTGTGAGTACAATTCAGGATCCACTGTGAGTCGAAAGGAAAACCCCGTTCCAACTCTGAGACCATGAACGACTTCTCTGAGTCTGAGACTGGTTCTAACTCTGAGACCATGAAGAGAACTTCGTCTGATCAAGACTGTTTCCAACTTGAGACCATGAACGACTTCTCTGAGTCCTGAGACTCGGTTCCAACCTCTGAGACTCATGAAGCGACATGCTCTGATCCTGAGACTGTTCTCCCTGAGACCATGAAGCGACATCTCTGAGTCTGAGACTGTTCCAACTCTGAGACCATGAAGCTACTCTCTGAGTCTGAGACTGTTCTAACTCTGAGACCATGAAGCGACTTCTCTGATCTGAGACTGTTCCAACTCTGAGACCATGAAGCGACTTTTCTGAGTCTGAGACTGTTCTAACTCTGAGACCATGAAGCGACTCTTCTGATCGGAGATGTTCTAATCTCTGAACCATGAAGCGACTTCTCTAGTCTGAGACGTTCCAACCTGAGACCATGGAAGCGACTTCTCTGAGTCTGAGACTGTTTCTAACTCGAGAACCATGAAGCGACTTCTCTGAGTCTGACACTGTTCTAACTCAGAGACCATGAACGACTTCTCTGAGTCTGAGACTGTTCCAACTCTGAGACCATGAACGACTTCTCTGAGTCCGAGACTGTTCTACACTCTGAGACCATGAAGGCGACTTCTCTGATTCTGGAGACTGTTTCCAACTCTGAGACCATGAAGCGACTTCTCTAGTCTGACACTGTTCTAACTCTGAGACATGAAGCGACTTCTCGGAGTCTGAGACTGTTCTAACTCTGAGACCATGAAGCGACTTCTCTGAGTCTGAGACTGTTCTAACTCTGAGACCCATGAAGCGACTTCTCTGAGTCTGACACTGTCAACTCTGAGACCATGATGCGACTTCCCTCTGAGTCTGAACTGTCCAACTCTGAGACAATCGAAGCGACCTCTCTGAGTCTGAGACTGTTCCAACGCTGAGACCATGAAGCGACTTCTCTGAGTCGTGACACTGTTCTAACTCTGAGACCATGAAGCGACCTTCTCTGAGTCTGAGACTGGTTCCACTCTGATACCATGAAGCGACTTCTCTAGTCTGAGACTGTCCAACCTGAACCATGAAAGCGACTTCTCTAGTCTGAACGTCAACCCTGAGACCATGAACGACTTCTCTGAGTCTGAGACTGTTCCAACGTCTGACACCCATGAGCCGACTTCTCTGAGTCTGACACTGTTCTACACTCTGAGACCAATGAAGCGACTTCACTGAGCTGAGACTGAGTTTCCAAACTCTGGACCCCTGAAGCGACTTCTCAGATCTGAGACTGTTCCAATTCTCTGAGACCCATGAAGCGTCTTCTCTGAGTCTGAGACTGTTTCCATCTCTGAGACCATGAAGCGACTTCTCTGAGTCTGAGACTGTTCCAACTCTGATACCATGAAGCGACTTCTCTGAGATCTGAGACTGTTCCAACTCTGAGGTGGTATCTGGTTTGTAGTCAGGCTTTTCTTTGTATCAAGGATCTTTAGTCTGAGTCCCATCCTAGTCCACCCTAGTCCAGTCCGCCATGCTAGTCCATTCAAGTCCAGTCCAGTCCAGTCCAGTCCATTCGAGTCGCTTCACGTCCATTTGAGTCCAGTCCAGTCCATTCGAGTCCAGTAGAGTCGCTGCCGCAACGGATCTGTCAATTCCTCACCCTTCATCAAGCCTCGATAATTTACAAGAAGGAATGCTTTCCATTCGTGCATCAACCGCCTCCTCCACCAACCAGAGAAGACCAGAGAGAGGCCAGAGAGAGACCAGAGAGAGACCAGGAGAGACCAGACAGAGACCAGAGAGAGACCAGAGAGAGGACGCAGGGAGAGACCATAGAGAGACGCAGGGAGAGTCCAGGGAGAGACAAGAGAGACCTGAGAAGACCAGAGGAGAGACAAGAGAAAGACAAGAGAGACCAGGGAGAGACCAGAGAGAGACCAGAGAGAGGACCAGGAAGACCAGAGAAAAGCCCGAGAGAGAGACCAGATAGAGACCATGGGGGGGGGGGAGAGACCAAAGAGAGACCAGAGAGATACCAGAGAGAGACCCAGGGCTGAACCAGAGAAGACCAGAGAGAGACCAGAGAGAGGACCAGGAGAGACAGAGAGAAGGCCAGAGAGAGACCAGGGAGGAGACCAGAGAGAATCCCAAGAGAGACCAGAGGGGGGGGGGGGAACCAGGGAAGAGACCCCAAGAGAGACCTGGAAGAGACAGAGAGAGACCAGAGAGAGGACCAGGGAGAGACCAGAGAGAGACCAGGGAGAGAACAGGGAGAAACAAAGAGAGACTCAGATAGAGAACCAGCGAGACCAGAAGAGAGACCCAGAGAGAGACCAGGAGAGACTAGAGATACCAGATAGAGACCAGGAGGAGACAGAATAGAGACAGAGAGAAGACACCAAGAAGACAAGAGAGACTAAAAGAGAGAGACAAGAGAGACCAGCAGGAGACCAGAGAGAGACCAGGGAAGACCAGAGGAGAATACCAGAGAGAGACCAAGAGAGACCAGAGAGAGACCATAGAGTGACAGAGAGATACCAGAGAGAGATCAGGGAGAGACCAGAGAGAGACCAGGGAGAAGAACAGAGAGATACCAGAGAGAGGCAACAGAGAGAGACCAGAGAGAGACCCAAGAGAACCAGAGAGAGACCAGGGGAACCCAGAGTGAGACCGGGGGAGAGACCAGAGAGAGACCAGGGAGAGACAAGAAGAGACCAAGGAGAGACCAGGGAGAAACCAGAGAGAGACCAACAGAAGACCAGACGAGACCAGGAGAGACCAGAGAGAGACCAGAGAGAGACCAGGGAGAGACTAGAGAGAGAACCAGAGAGAGACCAGGAAGACCAGAGAGATACCAGAGAGATACCAGAGAGAGATCCAGAGAGTGACCCAAGAGAGACCAGAGAGAGACCAAGAGTTACCATAAGAGAGATCTGGGAGAGACCAGAGAGAGACCAGGGAGAGACCAGAGAGATACAGAGAGAGACCAGAGAGAGGCCAAGAGAAACCAGAGAGATACCAGAGAGAGACCAGGGAGAGACCAGAGAGAGACCAGGGAGAGACCAGAGAGAGACCAGAGAGAGACCAGAGAGAGACCAGAGATGGAACAGAGAGAGACCAGAGAGAACCAGAGAGACCAGGGAGAGCAAGAGAGATACCAGAGAGAGACCAAGAGAGGCCAGAGAGATAGCCACCCAAGTGTGGGGGGGGGGAGGGGGGGTGTGGGGGGGGGGGGGGGGGGGGGGGGGGGTGGGGTGGGGGGGGGGGTGGGGGTGGGGGGGGGGGGTGGGAGACCCCACGGGGGGGGGGGGGGGTGGGGGGGGGGGGGGGGGGGGGGGGGGGTGGGGGGGGGCGGGGGGGGGGGGGGGGGGGGCCCAGAGTGAGATCAGGGTGAGACCAGAGTGAGACCAGGGAGAGACCAGAGAGATACACAGAAGAGACCTGAGAGAGGCCAAGAGAGACAGAGAAGATACGAGAGAGACCAGGGAGAGACCATAGAGAACCAGGGAAGACCAAGAGAGACCAGAGATGGACCAGGAGAAGGCAAAGAGAGACAGGACCCAGAGAGATACCAGAGAGAGACCAGGGAGAGACCAGAGAGAGACCAGGAGAGACCAGAAGGGAGAGACCAAGAGAGACCAGAGTGAGACCAGAGATGGACCAGAGAGAGACTAAGATAGACCAGTGAGAGAGACAAGAGAGACAAGAGAATAGACAAGAAGAGACCAGATAGAGACCAGAGAAGACCAGAGATGGACCAGAGAAGAGACAGAGAGAGACCAGAGAGACCAGAGTGAGACCAGAGACACCAGAGAGAGACCAAAGAGAGACCGAGAGAGACAAGCTGGAGACAGCCGTTTGGACTACGGACCTGTCCCCATGGATCCTGGACTACCTCCACAGACAGGACCCCAGTTTGTGAGAACCAGGGACTTTGTGTCTGAGGTCCCTGACCGGCTGTGTGGGGCCCCCCAGGGGACTTCAAGACACAACACGGTCGGTTGTGTCCTCCAGAAGTTCTCCAACCGACTCTGCCATCATCGGACTCAGCTCCGAGGACTATGACCACAGAGTACGAGAGGAGTTATAACAGGACTTTGTGGTCGAGAAAAGACGCAAGGAGATGAACCACCACCTCATCAACAGAAGACCAAGGCGGTTAACCCCCTCTCATCACAGAAGACCAAGAGATGAACCACCTCCTCACAACAGAAGACTCAAGGAGATGATCCCACCTCCTCATCAACAGAAGATCCAAGGAGATGAACCACCTCCTCATCAACAGAAGACCAAGGAATGAACCACCTCCTCATCACAGAAGACCAAGGAAATGATGAACCACCTTCCTCATCAACAGAAAGACCAAGGGGGGGGGATGAACCACCTTCTCATCAACAGAAGACCAAGGAGAATGAACCACCTCCTCATCAACAGAAGACCAAGGGAGATGAACCACCTCCTCATCAACAGAAGACCTAAGGAGGAAGAACCACCTCCTCATCAACAGATGACAAGGAGAACAACACCTCCTCATCAACAGAAGACTCAAGGAGATGAACCACCTCCTCATCAACAGAAGACCAGGAGATGAACCACCTCTCGATCACAGAAGGCCCAAGGAGAAGAACACCTCCTCATCAACGTGAGGAAGACAAGGAGATAACCACCTCCTCATCATCGCGGAAACTAAGGAGATGAATCCACCTCCTCATCAACGCGGGAGACTAAGGAGATGAAACCACCTCCTCATCACCGTGAGGACGACCAAGGAGATGGTGTGGTTTTCCGCAGACGTCCACTCTGCCGCTCCAGCTCCAGAACAACCAGGAAAGGACATCGAGAGGAGTGGACTCTTCAAGTACCTGGGTGTTCATCTTAACCACAACTGGACGGAGTCATAACACAGACGCCCTCTTCAAGAAGGCCTGAGCCGCCTCTACCTGCTGAGGAGGCTCAGGTCCTTTTGGAGTGCAGGGGCCACCCTGACGACCTCTATTACTCTGTGGTGTATCTCTTGTACGGTGTGGTCTCTGAACAGCAGCATCACAGAGAGGGACAGGAAGAAGCTGACAAGGTTATTCAGGAAGTCCACTCAGTCCTGGCTTTCCCTGACACAGTGCAGCAGGTGGTGTACAGGAGGTCCTGAGCAAACTAACATCTATGCGGACATGACTGTCGCCCCCTGCAGACACTCTCTCTGCTCTGGAGAGCAGCTTCAGTGCGACTAATTCACCCTCGCGTGGAAGGAGAGTTGACAGTCCTTCTCCCTGCTGCTGTCAACTGTACACGAGAATTGCAACAGAACTGCTAATCATCACTGATAGTTCACTATCACTTTGTCACTAGTCCTACTGACCTTTATCAGTACTACTGTATTATTACAGATCTGATAATTCTGCCTTTCACCGTCACTTTACCGTTGATATTTTTACGAAGCTTATTCTGCTCATATTCATATTCCCGCTGCTAAAGTACATATATACATCCTGTTAGCAACTCCTGAAGACCAAGTGCCGTTAGAGCCCAAATTTATTTATTTCTTATCTTATTTTTATTGTCTATTGTCTTAACAATAGACTATTTGATGTGTGCAATCTGAGTGCTCTTATGTCCTCTCTCAGCTGTAATGTGCAACGATTGACACTGACATTTTCTCCCACTGTGAGACTAATAAAGGTTTTATCTTATCTCAGAAGAGAGAGAGACCACAAGAGAGAGCAGAGAGATAGAGACCAGGGAGAGAGACCAGAAGAGAGAGCAAGAGAGAGACCTGAGAGAGAGCAGAGAGAGACCGAGAGAAGACCAGAGAGAGAGACCAGGGAGAAGAGCAAGATAGAGCAGAGAGAGAGACCAGAGAGAGACCAGGTGAGAGAGCAAGAGAGAGAGACCAGAAGAGAGACCAAAGAGAGAGACCAGAGAGAGAGCAGAGAGAGACCCCAGAGAGAGAGACCAGAGAGAGAGACAGAGAGAGAGACCAGAGAGAGAGACCAGGTAAGAGACCAGGATCGAGAGCAGAGAGAACTGAGAGAGAGCAGAGGAGAGAGAGCAAGAGAGACCAGAGAGAGACCAGGGAGAGAGAGCAGAGAGAGAGCAGAGAGAAGACCAGAGAGAGACCAGGGAGAGAGAGCAGAGAGAGATACCAAGAGAGGAACCAGAGAGAGAGCAAGAGAGACCCAGAGAGAGAGACCAGAGAGAGAGACCAGTAGAAGAGAGCAAGAGAGAGCAGAGAGAGAGCAGAGAGAGAGAGAGCAGAGAGAGGACCAGAGAGAGACCAGGGAGAGAGACCAAGAGAGTCCAGAGAGAGACCAGAAGAGAGACCAAGGAGAGAGACCCATAGTGAGTCCCAGAGAGAGAACAAGAGAGAGAGACAAAGACAGAGAGAGAGACAGAGAGAGAAAGAGAGAGGGGGACCAGGAGAAACCAAGGCCGTACTAGCTCTCAAGGGAAAGTCTGGAAGCGTTTTTGTTCTCACCACATACCTGTTTTGGTTCAAGTTATGAAGGAAAGAACTCACACTGGTCTATTCAGCAGGTGACAACACCCTGATCCAAAACTCACACAGGGAAGAGTGTGTGTGTGGCCTCCATGGTCTCTCTCTGCTCTCTCTCTCATGCTCTCTCTCTGCTCTCTCCTCTGCTCTCTCTCTGCTACTCTCTCCCTGTCTACTTCTGTCACCTCTCTGCTCTCTCTCTCTACTGCTCTCTCTCTGCTCTCTCCTGCTCTCTCTACCTGGTCTCTCTCCTCTGGTCTCTCTCTCTAATGGCCTCTCTCTGCTCTCTCTCTGTTTTCCGCCTCTCTGGTCTCTCTCTCTGCTCTCTCTCCCTGGTCTCGTCTCTGGTCTCTCTCTCTGCTCTCTCTCTGCTCTCATCTCCCGGCTCTCTCTGTGTCTCTCTCTGCTCTCTCCGCTCTGCTCTCTCGCTGCTCGCTCTCTGCTCTCGCTCCCTGGTCTCTCTAACCCCTGGTCTCTCTCTCTCTGGTCTCTCTCTCTGGTCTCTCTCTCTGGTCTCTCTCTCTGTCTCGTCTCGTGCTCTCTCTCTGGTACTCTCCTCTCTGGTCTCTAAGTCTCTCTCTGTCTCTCTCTCTCTGCTCTCCCTCCCTGGTCTCTCTTCTGGTCTCGGTCTCTCTGTCTCCGCTCAGCCTCTCTAACTCCCTGGGTCGTCTCTCGCGGTCTTCTCTGCACGGTCCTCCTCTCTGCTCTCCTCTGGTCTCAGTCTCTCTGCTCTCTCTCCTCTGGTCTCACCTCTCTCTCCTCCCTGTCTCTCTCTCTGCTCTCTCTCTCTGGGTCTCCTCTCATCTCTCTGAAGATAAGATAAACCATTTTATATAGTCCTCACATGTGGAAGAAATGTCAGTGTCATCGTTGCAACATATCAGCAGGAGAGAGGACATAAGAGCACCTGATGGCACACATTCAAATAGTCTAATGTATAAGACAATAGACAATAAAATTAAGATAAGATAAATAAACTTTGGGGCTATTACTGCACTTGGTTCAGGATTATTATACAGATGTATAGATTGTACTTTAGCAGCGGAGAATATGAATCTGAGCAATAAGCATCGACAAAATAGCACAGGTAAAGTGACGGTGAAAGGCAGAATTATCAGATCTGTAATAATACAGGTAGTACGGAAAACAGGTAAAGGTGACTAGTGACAAAGTTATAGTGAACTATCAGTGACAGATTAGCAGTTCCTGTTGCACATTCTCGTTGTGGTACTGTCTGGACAGCAGCAGGGAAGAAGACCTGTCAACCTCTCCTTCACACAGCAGGGTGAATAGTCTGTCACTAAGCTGCTCTCCAGAGCTTAGAGATGTCCTCATGGGGGTCGACAGTCATGGTCAAGCATAGATGTTTAGTTTTGCTCAGGACCCTCCCTGTCCGCCCACCTGCTGCAACTGTGTCCAGGTACACGCCCAGGACTCGAGCGGACTTCCCTGATGACCTTGACCAGCTTCTTCCTGTCCCTCTCCTGTGATGCTGCGTTCCAGCAGACCTCACCGTACAAGAGGCTCCACCACAGATCAAGAAGTTCTTCAGGAGTGTCCCCTGCACTCCTAAAGACCTGAGGGCCTCCTCAGCAGGTAGATGCGCTCGGCCCTTCTTGAGAGGGCGTGCTGGTATGACTACAAGTCCTAGTTTGTGTTCAGATGAACACCCAGGTACTTTGTAAGAGTCCAAATCTATCGATGTCCTGTATCCCGGGATGTCACTGGAGCTGGAGCGGCATAGGACGTCTGCGGAAAACCCCCCACCAATCTCCTTGGTCTTACCTCACGTTGATGAGGAAGGTTGTTCATCTCCTAGTCTTCCCCGCGTTGATTAGGAGTGTGGTTCATCTCCTTAGTCTTTTCCCCGCGTTGATGAGGAGGTGGTTCATCTCCTTGTCCTTCCTCACGTTGATAGAGGAGGTGGTTCTTCCTCCTTGGCCATTCTGTTGATGAGAAGGTGTTTCATCATCCTTGGTCTTCTGTGATGATGAGGTGGTTCATCTCCTTGGTCTTCTGTTGATGAGGAGGTGGTTCTTCTCCTTTGGTCAATCTGTTGATGAGGAGGTGGTTCTCTCCTTGGTCTTTTCTTTGATGAGGGAGGTGGTTCATCTCCTTGGTCTTCTGTTGATGAGGAGGTGGTTCATCTCCTTGGTTCTTCTGTTGATGAGAAGGTGGTTCTCTCCTTGGTCTTCTGTTGATGAGGAGGTGTTCATCGTCCTTGGTCTTCTGTTGATGAGAGGTTTCATCTCCTTGGTCTCTTTGATGAGGAAGGGGTTCTCTCCTTGTCTTCTGTTGATGAGGAGGTGGTTCATCCTCCTGTGGTCTTCTGTTGATGAGGAGTGTTTCATCTCCTTGTCTTCGTTGATGGAGGTGGTTCACCTTCCTTTGGTCTTCTGTTGATGAGGAGCGTGGTTCATCTCCTTGTTCTTTCTCGTCCACAAAGTACTGTATAAACTCCTCGTACTCGGTGTCAATCGTCCTCCGAGCGAGTCCGATGAGGGCAGAGTCGTTGGAAGGAACTTCTGGAGGACACAACCGACCGTAGTTGTGTCTGAAATCCCCTGGGGGCCCCCACACTGCAGGTCAGGACCTCAAGACACAAAGTCCCTGGTCTCACAAAGCTGGGGTCTGTCTGTGAGGTAGTCCAGGATTCCACTGGGACAGGTCGGTAGTCCACAACGGCTGTCTCCAGCTTGTCCTCTCTCCTCTCTCCGGTCTCTCTTGGTCTCGCTCTCGGTGTCTCTGGTCTCTCTCCTGGTCTCTCTGGCTCGTCTCTGTCTTCTCTCTGGTCCATCTCTGGTCTCTCGTCTGGTCTCTCTCTGTTCTCTCTCTGGTCTCTCTCTGGTCTCTCTCTTGGTCTCTCTCACAGGTCCTCTCTCGCTTGTCCTCCTCTCTGGTCCATCTCTGGTCTCTCTCTGGTCTCTCTCTGGTCTCTCTCTGGTCTCTCCTGGTCTCTCTCTGGTCTCTCCCGGGCTCTCTCTGGTATCTCTCTGGTCTCTCTCTGGCCTTCTCTCTGGTCCCATGCTCTGTCTCTCTCTGTCTCATCCCGGTCTCTCCTCTGGTCCCTCGTCCCTGGTCTTTCTCTGGTATCTCCTCGG